AATGAGCTCTGTTGGAAGAAAGGTCAGCTCTGGTCAGTGCTGAAAAGGTGACCAAAGACAAAAGCATAGTGTAAATTTAAGAATGCAGTTTCAGTGTGGGAGGAGTGTGGTTGTAGGATCATGGGCTCAGGGGGGATGAAGAATGATTAGTGGTATGATGAAGTGATGAGTGGTAAGGGAGAAAAAGTTAGAACACGAATGATTCTAATAATGTAAAAATGATTTTGTATACAGAAAAGAGCATGAAAGGTAAGAGGTCACAATGGAAGGAATAAGGATGAAGTGAATGTATTTAAATATTAAGGAGTGGATATGAAAGGGAGAGGGGTCTATAGAAAATAAGGTGATTTACAGAATAGCTCATTATTATTACACACTATTCCCAAAAAAGTACTAAACTCATGAGTCATTTGTCACAAAGAATGAACAAGGAAAAAAAAATGTTGAAGAAATGTTGAGAAATCTGTGAATTTTTTTTATAAATGGATAAAAAAAAAATGTCCAGTAAAACTGAATAGTGTTAATAACACATGTATAAGTATGAAGCATGGTCTTTGAATACTGCAGATAGGAGAAGAACAAAGGCAGTGAAAATGTTTGCTTGAGATTAATATGCAGTGTGAATATTATGCAGAGAATATGGGGTGTAAAAATTTGACAAAACTGTAATGTAAGTACAAACCAGGAATTAAATGGAATACTATAATAAGAAAGTAAATAAAATATTATGGATTTATAAATTATGAGCTAATATTACTCTATATAGCACTAGCTGTACACAAACATGTACATTAAAAAAAAAAGGCTTGGATACTTGACACACCCGAATTTAGATGTAAAATTGTTGATTGTTTATTAAAGAAAAATAGGTGTACATCAAAAGGAAGAAGACTCCCACAGGGCATGTTCACAGTCTATTGATCTCCCAAACTGAAAGAGAAAAGGTTTATTTTGTTTTATTTACAGAGCACTAGAACCAGACATTCTATTCACAAAACAAGTGTACAGTAAAACTATTTCAATTTTTTCACATTCCATATTCAGAATTTGTTCAGTGTC